GAAAAGTCAGAGAACAATCTGCCAAAATTTCTGTGGCTCGAAGCTTTTCTTTCTCCTTCACAAAAATGAAGATTTCTCTCTACCTTCTCTCTGTACTCATTCTCTTACCCGTTTCTCTTCAGGATCCGAGTCCTGAAGTCAAGAAACCGACTCGTGCACACGCAGAGCTCACGAACCATGGGTTCCCAATTGGGCTTCTCCCTTTATCTGTCAACGATTACTTCCTCAACCAAACCTCCGGCGACTTCTCTCTTTTCCTCAACGGAGCATGCAAAATCACGCTTCCTCCTGATAACTACATCGCTACTTATTCGAACAAAGTAACGGGTCGGATCTCTCAGGGTAAGATCGCGGAGCTCCAAGGGATTCGGGTTCGGGCGTTTTTCAAGTCGTGGTCTATCACTGGGATTCGATCTTCCGGGGATAATCTTGTGTTTGAAGTCGCTGGGATAACTGCTAAATACCCTTCGAAGAATTTCGATGAGAGTCTTGATTGTGAAGGGAAACGATCGTCTTCTTGATTTCAATTGAAACAAAAAGGTTAGAGCTTTCGATTCTTGAGGGTTTTCTTCAAATTCAGGGTTTTTCTTCTGTTGTTATGAGAATTTAGGATTTTCATATCGAGGTTGAATCTTAGCTTGATTTTGGAGCCGATTGCTTGGTTAGGGTTTTGTTCTATTTGTTTCATTTTGTGGAATTTGACTTCTAATGTGATAATCCATTGACTAGACTAGATCATTGTTTTTGGATCTTTGGAATTGCAATGAATTCAAATGTTGGATGTTAGTAGCCTCATTCATATAAGTCATCTTGGACATTGTGGTCTTTGTTTTCTTTGTTCATATTTGTTAGTAGACTATTTGTTAGATTTTGATAGATAATAGTCTTTTATCATGATTTTGGCTGTTGCTAGCTTCTTTCCTTCACTGTTGGGACTGGTCTTTTGATATGTTAAGCTTTCATGACCAACTGTAATACTAAAACACAAGCATTAGTATTACTGTCATGAAAACTTGAACGTCCTGTGTATTGCTTCTGCGATGCCATGTATTCATTCATTGCTTAGGTTAATTAAAATTGTTTTCTTAGACCATGATGTCGCCGTCTTCTTCGGTATCTAAATGCTATGTAGATTGCTTTCACTAGGTCTCAACAGTTATGCGCTTGGATGTTTTGCTTTGGTTATTAACAAGTGGTTCTTGTCTACTTTGCAGGAAGATTGCCAAGGCAGGAGCAATAAGTGAAAAATGGTTTGTAATATATTTATCTCCATCCGATAAAACAAAGCTTGTAATGTAAAATCGCAGTTGAACCACGACTGTATTCTCTGCAAACTAAGGGTTTCATGGAGGCTTGTAAGTTGTCAATCAAATATGGGTTGAAATGTGATAACAAGCAGGACCAATTTGTGTATTTTGTAGAAAACCAAGAAATTGGTGTACGTAAATATATAACTATTAGGCATTACTTGTATTTTTTTTATAACCGAAGTATATTACGGGCCGAACTCCGGACTAATATCAAGAGACATGTACAAAAACCCGGTATTCTTGTCACTAATGGTGTTTACGGTGGCGAAGAGGTTAACAACAATGAGTGGAACTCGATCCTAGACTTTGACATGTATGGTGACTTGGTGAGTCCTCGACAAATTCAAGAGACCATTGGACCACACTATTCTGAGAAAAATTGAATGTTCTGAAGTAAAAGATAATATATATTTTAGAAGTCTTTGAATATGTAAGTTAGATTGTTGTTTGTTTTCAATGGATGGTGTTATATTTTAAAACTGTTTGATAAACAATGTTTATGTTCTTAAACTACAAATACCTAAGTACAATTTTGTTAACGTTAAAAAGTAATAGGGTCGTCCTACACCACTATACGCCACCGCATTTATTAATCTTCATAGACATTACTGTTTTCAGTTTCATAAAGACTAACACTAGATACACTAGATCCTGTGTATTGCTTCTGCTTGTAGATGTGCAAGTGCACTGCAGTGTCCCGTGAAATGCATAGTCATTATTGTTAAGTTGGCTCAATTGGGAATGATTTTTGTATCCATTAATTGCGTTGGTTGAGAGTTTGTTGTCAACCATGCATTTTCACGTTTCTTTTTTTACTTTTCAAAATATGTGTAATATGTATAATTGTGTGTATGTATTATTATGAAATCCTTTGGATCCGCACCCATAATGATTTGTAAGGAAATGGTCCTTTGGCTGTATGACATAAAATTAAGAAATTGTCTGCATGACCACGTCATTGTAAAAGAGGGCACGAGACGAGAGACAGATATGAAACACCAATGTTATTCTTCTATCAAAGAAACTCCACAAAACTACAGGTTGTTTTGGGGAGACGTCTTCTTACCACACATTTAAAAATAGCAATTGCTAATAATAAACGTAAGTGAAATAACACCTATAAATCACGCAGAGACAAAAGCTGGTTCTTCAGGCATCATAACAATCCAAATAAGCCTGGGATCCAATTTTCTTATTTCCCCAACCAAAACAGGGGAAGAAAAAAAAAGAAACAAAAAAATCAAAAAAAATTTAGAAAATGAGAGCCTCAACAAGAGTCATATGGACAGTATCTGTCCTTATGCTCGCTGCTGTGTCCGAGGCCATCTTCCCTCTACCGTTTCTACCGTTCCTCCCTGGGTTCAACAACGGCTTTAGGGACAATGAGGCTGTGAAGGTTGCGAAACCACAGCCTGCAGCCGGTGCGGTAGCTGGTGGAAAAGGCGGAAGAAGGCAGCGAGGCGGCGGTTTAGACGCTCAGACAACCTGGGGTGGTAAGTGGGAGCTCTTCTTGGAAAACTCGGGTGTGTCAGGGATGCATGCGATTCTTATGCCAGTCATCAACAAGGTCCAGTACTATGACGCCACCATTTGGAGAATTTCAAAGATTAAGTTGCCTCCAGGCGTACCATGCCATGTCGTGAACGCCAAGACTAACAGGATCGATTGTTGGGCTCATTCGATTCTCATGGATGTCAACACCGGCGCCCTTAAGCCTCTAGCCGTATGTTCAAACACATGACACCATCTTTCTTTTTTTTTTTGGACCTAGTCCTAGACACGGTTTATCTTCTCATTAGATAGAATCATATAATATGAAACTTGAATTAAATATTTGCATTCACATGTTTCATGATAGCTTTCCACCGATACATGGTGCTCATCCGGAGGTCTGACCGTAAATGGTACATTGGTGAGCACTGGAGGATACGGAGGAGGAGCCAACACCGCAAGGTACCTATCCAGCTGTGAAAACTGCAAGTGGGAAGAATACCCTCAGGCATTGGCTGCCAAGAGATGGTACTCAACGCAAGCCACTCTCCCTGACGGAAAGTTCTTCGTGATTGGTGGAAGAGACGCCTTGAACTACGAATACATTCCTGAGGAGGGGCAAAACAACAGGAAGCTCTATGACTCATTGCTCCTCAGGCAAACAGACGACCCGGAAGAAAACAACCTTTACCCTTTCGTGTGGCTCAACACCGACGGTAACCTCTTCATTTTCGCTAACAACCGATCCATCCTTCTAAGCCCCAAAACAAACCAAGTCATCAAGGAGTTCCCTCAGCTCCCAGGTGGTGCCCGTAACTACCCGGGATCAGGTTCTTCTGCTCTCCTACCCATCCAGCTTTACGTGAAAAACCCCAAGGTCATCCCTGCCGAGGTCCTCGTCTGTGGTGGTTCCAAACAAGACGCGTATTACAAGGCTGGTAAAAGGGTATTCGAACCAGCACTACAAGACTGCGCCAGGATAAGGATCAACAGCGCAAAGCCTCGATGGAAGACCGAGATGATGCCGACCCCACGAATCATGAGTGATACTGTCATCCTCCCCAACGGAGACATACTTCTAGTCAACGGAGCTAAACGTGGTTGTTCAGGCTGGGGCTATGGTAAAGACCCTGCCTTTGCTCCCCTCTTGTACAAGCCCCATGCTCCACGTGGCAAGCGTTTCAGAGAGCTCAAGCCCTCCACCATCCCACGTATGTACCACTCCACCGCCATCATTCTCCCTGACGGTAAGGTTCTTGTCGGTGGCAGCAACACCAACGACGGTTACAAGTACAACGTTGAGTTCCCTACGGAGCTTCGTGTTGAGAAATTCTCCCCACCTTACCTCGACCCGGCTCTAGCCAACATTAGGCCAAAGATCGTCACCACCGGCACCCCAAAACAGATAAAATACGGACAATTCTTCAACGTGAAGGTCGACCTTAAACAAAAGGGCGCAACCAAGCAGAATCTCAAGGTGACCATGTTAGCCCCTGCCTTCACAACACACAGTATCTCAATGAACATGAGGATGCTCATCTTGGGTGTGGCTAATGTCAAACCTGCTGGTGCCGGTTACGATATCCAGGCCGTCGCACCGCCAAATGGAAACATCGCTCCACCGGGTTACTATCTTATCTTTGCCATCCACAAAGGTGTTCCCAGCACTGGAGAATGGATTCAGATCGTCTAATGATGATGATTTTTACCCATTTTGTCTTATGGCCGTAACATCTTAATATAAAAAAATCACGTAATATCAGTTTTTTTTTCCTTCTATATATTTGTATATGCCACCATTAATGGATCCAAATTCCTTGTGTTTTCTTTAACCATTTTTCTTTCACTTCTTTAAACTTTATCCGTTCATGTAAAACCTTATCGGTGAGTTTTTATTCCTAAATTTTGTATTGGAGAAATTCTTTTATTATTACTTTTGCCTCTTTTCTTTCTTCATTAGTTCGGTTTTTGGGTAAACCATTTGATGGATTTCATCGCAAGTCACTACTGTTTGGTTCATCGACTAATAACGTTAATCACTCTGCTAAGATTGCACAGAATTAGCTAAAATACACAAATAGTTCTCTATGCAAAACCATTATCGAAGAATGTGATTATCACCAAAATCATCTCATCTCTCTGGTCTATACACAATGCCTAAATTCCTAATTTAGGTTTTCGTTATTAGCTTTCTCGTCATAGTATAGAACAATAATGGCAAAATAGATCTCGCAGAAACAGTGTCACGGTTTTACAAAATTCCAATTTCACAGAACACAAAGCCAAATTCCAAATACAATAAAGCTCGTACCTAACAAAGCAAGTCCGATTTGAGTTTCTTCCCCTAAAAGGATCCCAAAAGCGGCGGTTGCGGCAAAGGTTGTGGCGTTGGTGACCGGAACGGCAATAGAGATAGGAGCGTGACTGAGAAGGGCGAAGAATGTGGCGGAGGCGGAGAGGTTGATGAGGAAAGGAATCGAGTATTGCCAGAAGAGGAGGAGATTGATCCAGTCGCGGAGAGCAATCATGATTTTGCGGCGGATCTGAAGAGGAGGAGGAGGAGGAGATTCTGTTGTCAAAGAAGACTTTCTATTATCCCAGGCGAGAGCACCGCGGCGGATCAGAGCATTGGTGGCTCCCCATAGGAGCCCTACCGCCACCATCTTCTCCATGTCTTCCTTCATCGTCGGTGGCCTTTTCGGTTGTTCTGTTTTATAACCCGTATACCACTAAATGTTGTTGAGTAAAGGAGATCAAAACCTTCGAACACCCAGAACCGATCCGAACCCGAAAGGTACCAAACCGAATCCGATCCGAAATTTTAAAATAATGCATCTGAATGGGACTTTAACCCCTAGTCCCAAAGTACATGACCCAAATACCCAAATGCCGAGGCTTCCGGATGGTAAACACATCAATGGTACTATCAACAAACCACTAAATTACATGTCATGCTCAATTAATGTTTCATTGCAAAACCTATTGTACATACACCAGGGCCCTCAATAATCAGATACACTAATCATACAAATGAGCTTCAAAATCCATTAGGAAACAATGTTATAGACGTTACAATGCAAAACACCAAAGAACCAAAATATCAAAAAACGGTCCACACATACTCACACTTCCCTCTTAGAAAAAACAACAGGAAGCAATAGTCAAAACAAGCAGCAAACATGATCAACCAGGTCACTCTATCACAAGTGTCCTCAAACACCAAGACTCGTGTCCCAAATCCTAAAACCAACCATCGCCTGCATTGTTATATATGTACACATTCTCACACACTTTAATCTCCTCTCTATTCTCTCTCTTTCTCACTCTCTTTGTTTTTTTTTTCCTTCTTCTTCTATGCCCTGTTCTATTACCTGATCTTTTCACTATCAGTGTCTGTCACTCGGGCTTCTCATGTTCTCTAACTTTGCTAGATATGAAAATTTCTTCGGTAGAGCTCTTGGAGACTTCATCATGGGCTTCTCCTTCTCTTGCTCAACTTTGTGGAAGAATTCTATATCACTCATTGAACTATGCTTCTTAGTATCTGATGACAATCTCCACCCTATGAAGTCTGATAGTTTCCTCGAGTTTGGTGTTTCTGCTGCAACCACCTTTTCGGTTTCCTCATATTCTGATTCTGCCTCGCTTTCTGATCTTGTCTCTACCTCTCCCATCAATTGTCTTTGAACTAGCCGATCAGCTTCAAGAACATGCTCTATTCTCGACATTATCTTCGAAGCCAGACTTTCTAATACCCTCGAATAGCTCTCCAAAATCGCCTGTCCAATGTCCTGTAAAAAACCCATCATAGCAAACTTTTACTCAGTTTCAGTAAATTTTTGCTGATGCTTGTTTAGTCTTTGTTATGTTGTGTTACCTTGTTGTTTTTAATCTTGGAGACTTCAAGTGAGGATTGTGGGATTCCAGGGAATTGCTGTTTGAGCATAACCAAAATGGTCTCAGCTCGGACCTCAAAAAGCTCTCTCTTCTCTAAGCTAACGGTTGATCCCCACTGCGATTTCCCGTCTTTCTCCTTCTGGCACATCTTCCTCTTCCAAATCACCATGGAAGCTTCAATCCTGTTCTTTAGATCAAGTACTTTGTGTTCCGTTGACAAATCCAAGAAAGAAACAAAGTAGTCAGGATCAAAGCATTCCTCTGTTATGCTCTTGTAAAGAAAATCGCCCAAACTTGTCTTCCCATTCTACAAGATGGAACAGTCTCATCAGCTGCTTAGCTTAATTAGTGAAAGTAGAAAAGAATAAGAGCACTCATGAAGAAGAAGTAAGTTACCTTCGGAAGGGAATCAATGTAGTTTTCAGGAATGTGCATTTCAGACAATACATGAGCATTGATGGCCGTGGCGGCTTTAAGGACTTGTGCCACAGAATCTTTCTGATTTTGCAACCATCTACGTGATTCCTCAGACAAACCATCTGTTGGAACTTTAACAACTGGTAGCCACCAGTTCTCATCCCTCCTCCAATCTCCATTGTGATCTGCATCCTCAATATCTCTTGGCACATACCAAAACTCTTTCTGATCCTTGAAGTTGTCCAAAGTTTCCTGCCAAATGAGTAATTGCATTAGTATGATAAATGGTCACAACTCATAAATCTTTGTTTTTTAATTTTGTTTTCGCAAACGTTAAAACCGCGGTTGAAACAATCAAGTAGTAATTGATGCGGATGGAGGTTAAAACTCACGAGAAGAACCGAGTCAAGTTTGCGTAAAGCTGGAATGTTCGTCAGCAAATCATCTCTTTGTTTCGTCACCATGATCTACAAAGTCAAAAAAATTTGGGTTCGTAAGAAAAATAGTTACTAGGAGTTGTTGGCCTAACAACTAACAAATGCATGCATTCACCTCAGTGAATTGGCCATTTTTGCCCATTTGTTTAGAAGGAACAAACTGGACAATGTGATCAACCACAGATAATAACCAATCCATTTCTTTCCTCCAAATCTCTTTTGTCTCTGGATACATAGGCTGCAATTTCATCTGCTCCCCAAACATTGAATCTGCATGCCGATACCAAAGCCACATAGTTTGTGAATTATTTTAACCATTCAAATAGTTAATTAGACATTAATATGTTTTAATCATATTATTAGTGTTAAATATATACCAGCGAGTTTGGTGATGGCGTTTGACAAAGCTAACGCAGAGGTCACCCCATCCCCACCGCCTGACATGTCCTCTCCAAGCAGCAGTTTTGCGAATCTTTCCTTCATCACTTCAATGTCTGTAAAACAGATATCAATACAAAGATTATGTAAGGATTCCAACTTATAAAATAATTGATAAAGAACTAATCTGATATAAAATATGGGTTACTCCTTACAATTGATATTTAGATCCAAGTCCAACCCATGTATCTACACAAATGCAATCTAAGTGCAATTCATTATGCTATATATATACCACACATCTGATGATGAGATATTAATAGAGATAAATAGGATCATAATTAAGAAAATGTCAATGGTGTTTCTTTTTCCTATGAATCAAATGGGGCTTAAAAGACCTTAGAACGGTTAATTTTTACTCTTTTAATTGTTGTGAAACGCATGTTTTTTGGATAACATGTTAATAATGTATGGAATGGAGGTTTTTGGACGCTTTTACTTTTGTCATTTAACAATTGCCAAAGGCGTGAATTTTTCCGTGCAATGTCATTTTTCATGGACATTTTATTTACTAAATATATATTTTTTTCCAAATTTAAGTGTGTAGATTATATATTGTTAAATATTGGTTTATACATATACAAATGAATCAAATGGATATATTTTCAAAGCATCATTAGCATTTTCAGTTTCACCTAAATTTATGTTGGTGTACCATTTTGTTATTTCTTAAAATATCAAATTTTCAATTTTTCATTTTCATAGATAAAAGTTATGCCATAGATAAAAGTTATGCAATTACCATTTACCAAATTAACTCATACTAATATGTTGTATATATATACCTGATCTCCTACTTTGCTTGCCTCTACGAGTGGATGGTGCAGCATCCATTCCATGTACGGCAAGTTCGTGCTCGGGTGTATGCATGCCATCCCCACGAGAAGAGAATGATGAATGTCCAGAGTTCCGACCATCGAACATCTTTCTAAAACTGAAAGATCTTGGCCAGCTTAGTTTACGTCCTAATGTCCGCACCATTCCCAATTTACTCCTCTCAATTTATCTCTCTCCCCACACTTTCTTTTATTTCTCTCTTTTTTTTTTTTCTTGGCTCAGATCGTATATATATAAAGGAAAACAAAGCAAATGAAATCCACAAAATGGAAGAGAAGAAAGCAAAAAGAGACGTACAGATCAAGAAACTAGTCCTTTCGCTCTCCCTTGTCTCTGTTCTTTCACCACCGAATGAAACAGAACTACTTTATGTTCTGTACTTTTCTTTTTCCAGTTGTTTTATGTTTTTGTTTTTGTTTTTGAGTTGGTGCAAATGAATGAAACAGAGAAATGTTGAACTAGTTTTCTAGGGCTGGAGAGACAACGTGCGGTCCATGTTTTCCAAAAAACAAACAAAAGATAAATAGTGGAAGGGCGGTTAAAGATACTCCGACTTTTCCTTAATTTATTTTATCTTTCAATTGTTTAGAATTTACCTCACCTGCTTAGTTTTTGATTCGTGAATTAAGTCTGGTAGGTACTACGAAATTATTTCTTATTTGAACTAATCCACATTTGGTTTAATGAGATTGTAGGAACATTTTCTAAATAAAAATGTCTACAAAAATGCGATTGGCTCAAATAGTTAGAAAAATGATGTTTTATTGTTACCGGCCGGACCCGAGTTTGAATCCTATGTGCTAAACTTGGAGAGGGATGATTTATGTTTGTGGATCATTACAAATATTGTTTAAGCCTGATCTCGAATTAAGTAAGACTATGGATCAAATATAGCTGGAATTTACAAACTCAATTACTTAAAAAGTGATACGATCAAATTTTAAAATCAAATTTGACTAATTCGTTAGTGCAACAGTAGCATGGGGGCATGTAACACGGCGACTCTTTACCAAGTCTAAACATTCCTGTATATCATACTAATTTAAAGGATTTGATTTCAATATCCTATAATATTGGTTTAATCGTTTAATCACGTCGTGTAATTTATCATTTTGAATAAGTGGCGTTTTTGATCATTTTCTCCTCCACTCACTGATGTATAAATATTGCATTGACATTTTTTTTATCAAGCGGCTTAAACAAATGAGTCTACCTATAAATTGACACATTGAAACAAGTTTTCATTAACAAAAAAAAAAAAACTAATTACATATCAAAAACATATAACCTCATTCCGTTTTACATTTCTTATATCATTCATGTTCACTACTATATGCCCCTTACAATTCCAAATGATCGATTGCTTCATTTGAAAATGATGTTTATGTGTTATTTTAAGAGATGGACCAATTATATAGTATTCCGACAAGTATTTTTTTTAAAAAAAAAATACAAGCACATCATACTTCTTCTTAGGCCTGCCAAAGTTCCCAAAACTTCTCCCTTTCCAGCGAGAACCAAACTATAACTTATTTGCTAAGTGATCTCTCATCAAATAAAATAACAGGATATTTGGAAATTTTGCAATAAACAATTGAGTCAATATAATTTTACTTTTATGTGTTGCTGGCAGATTAAAGTAACCAATATTTTCCTTAGAAATGGTAGATCTCAATGTCACAATACTCGGTTTGGTTTGATTAAACCATCCTTAGTCAAAAGACATGAGGAAACAAAAAATCCATAGTATAATAAGCCAACAAAAACGCTGTTGTTTTCTCCCATTTTATTTGTAGAAACAGCAAAAATATATATGTTGTCGCTAGTTTAGCCGAGGCGGGTCACTGCAGCATGCATAGCATCCGCGAGGTGCGGCACTGTCTTCGAACTTAGACCTGCCATGCTTATTCTCCTGCAATACAACAAAATCACCCTTTTCAATTTAAAGCTCAGAAAACAAAAAATTCTGGTAATTTCTAATTTCTTTTGTTTCATGCTACTATATTTCAATAGCAAGAATGTGATATTCAGATCTATCACTTTCTCAAAATTTCAAAGCAACTACTTCATATAAGTTGGCGACAGTATCTTAGAACCTCTTAGAACTATCTTCATATCATATATACTCATGGTTTTAGGCATTATTACAGAAACCAAACTCTCTCATATGCCTAAAAATATCGAAAAGAAGCGATAGAATATCAGTTGACTCACCCGTCAGAGGTCATGTAAATGTGAAACTCTTTGGTCATGAATTCAACTTGCTCCTTGTTCAATCCGGTAAAAGTAAACATCCCGATCTGTTTGATAATGTGAGTCCAGTCACCAGGTGTGCCTGCAAACCAGACAACGTGTCAAGAACAAAATATTGCAGAGTAATGATTCTGCAAACCTGGAAAAGAAGATAAGAGGAGTGAAAAATCAGAGAAAAGAAGCATTTCTAATATACCTCTAGCTTGTATAGCTTCAAATAACTGTTGGCGCATGCTCTTTATGCGGTCAGCCATTTCTTTCAGCTCGATGGTCCAGTTGTTGTACATATCACTGCCATGTATACAAAGAAAAATTAGAAACTTGGATCAGAATCTAATTCCATAAAGAGATTCATTATAAGCTTGATAGCGCAAAGGAAAATGCTAGTGATTTATGCATGAATCCACAGAGTAAGAAGCTTTGCATGACCATTACAACACAGCATAAACTATCCAATTACTCTGTATGGAAGAACGGTAGAGATCTCTCTTTCCAGTCTATTAACTTATATGCAAGCTTACATTCTAGTATATATATCTGAATGTAATCATCTAGAAAAATGTACTTCTACCATTAACTCGGGTTTAAAGGTTTCTTCCACAACAAAAAAAATTCAGAAGTAATAGTAAACTTAAGCATGGATTTATTAGTTCTGCTCTCTTGCAGGATAAACATGTACCTGCTTTTCAGAATGGTGGCAACAATTGATGCTCCATGAATAGGTGGGCTCGAATACATGGGCCGAACAACAAGTTTCACCTGGCTCTCAACCTTACTAGCCACATCTGCCGACTTGCAGACCTTCACATTATATCAAAAAGATTAGATGCACTTTTAGAATACTGTATTCTCGTACTACACTATTAGATGCACCTTTTGACTAATGATAATGTCAGATGAATAAAAGCAAAGATGAAATTGAGAAGTTTGGTTCCTTACAATGCTAAGGGCACCAACACGTTCCCCATAAAGTCCCATATTTTTGGCATAGCTTTGAGCTATCAAGCATTCACCACCATCAGCAACAAATGTACGGACGGACTGTGCATCTGTGTCAAGGCTACCACTAGCAAAACCCTGCAAAAGTGTTTGGAAAAAGGTATCAGGCTGCTCTTTTTCTACATTAGTTAAGATTCAAGCATACACTATAATGGGGTTCATTTGTTTGCAAACCACCGTTGAATAAAGCAACAAAGCAAGACTACCTGATAAGCACTATCAAAAAAGGGTAATAAGCTTTTAGATCTCATGAGTTGTCGAATCTGTTCCCACTGTTCAGACGTTGGGTCAACTCCAGTGGGATTGTGTGCACATGCATGAAGTAAAACAATAGCTCCAGATGGTGCAGCGCCAAGATCCTCGAGCAAGCCTGGCATCAAAGGTCAAAGTTTGTATCAAATGCCTTTTTATGAAATATTTTGACAAAATGCAATCTTGAGATTTATGTATTCAAATTTCAAACATAAAGTTGTGAAAATACAAGCAGTACACTTACATAAATAATTTCATTGTGGTTATATCAAGGAAAACACAGGAAAAGTAGAGTGGATGGATAATCAAAGCAATAATCATGAACAAAAGTAAACTAAATTAAGGTCAGTGCAACAATCACAGGAAGGTGAAAATAAAAAGTCATGGGAAATTAAGAATCAACCTTTGAAGTCAAGACCACGGGTTGCAGGATCATAGTAGCGGAAATACTCCACAGACAAGCCTGCCAGGTTGAAAACTTTTGGATGGTTCCCCCAAGTTGGTTTTGGAATGTAAATGACACCCTGGAAGAATGAGAAGCGTGGTAAGCAACACTTCTTTGATTACAGAATTCAATGACCGTAAAATCTATAAAAAGAAAACTAAATAGCGAGAAGTGTACTTGGTGGTAGTGTTTTTTGAGAAACTCAGCCCCAACTCTCAAGGAACCAGTACCAGACAAGCACTGGATGGTAGCAACTCTATTCTCTTTGATTGCAGGACTGCCCAACAAAACAAGAATATCATACACAATGAACTAAAAGGGAAATTTTGTCACAACAGCTACAAAAAAAAACAAAGCACTATACGAATTAAAGGTTCTAAGACCAAAAACAAAAAGATGACAAATCCATAGAAATTTTATTACCTGTCAGCACCTAAGATGAGCTTGGCGCTTAACTTGTTAAAATCAGCGATACCAACAATGGGAATGTATTCCTTGACCCGGGACCTTAGAGAAGTAGAGAAAAGTTTTAGGCATTAGCAAAAACAAGAACAAAAAAAAACACAAATTAACAATGACGTTCGAACTCACGGATCATTCACGAGCAGTTGCTCTGCCTTACGAACCACATCAAGAACGAGAGGCTTCCCTTCCTTTGAGAAACCAAGGAAAAAAAGAAACAAACTAATAAAAACCTAAGCTTTGCAAAACAATAATCAATTGAGACCATAAAGATGCTTAAAGGAGAGATCTCGACAAAAATTACCTCAGTTCGGTAGGCACCGACACCCAAATTGATCTTAACGGGGTTAGGATCATTGTTGTAAGCAACAGTTACCTGTTTTCAACAATCAAAACGTTACTTAAAAACTTATAATCAAATCATTGATCACAGAACATGGAGTCATATATATCTAATTTAAAATTCCCAGTAGCTAAATAAGAATCATATCCAAATTGAGTTATACAATAAACGCACAAAGGGATCAAAATCTCCGATCACACTCATATCAAATCTAACCGTCACGATTTCGGATAACCGAGTTGGATCGAAGCAATGAAAATCAACCAAAACGCTTTAAAAAAAGAGAGAGGCGACATACACCGAGAATAGGATCTTCGGGAGCACGAGCAACGTTAGAGAAGACGGAATCCATTAGACAAGGGACAGACAATGGATCGATGAGAGGACTAAGTTAAAGACAAGAGAAGTCGCCTTTTTAGTTTTTATCTTCTTCGAGGATCAACTTTAGCTGTGGGCGCCTATATTGCGTGCGATTTGGCAACTGTGGGCGCTGCTGCTTGAACTTGCCCAACAAGTCGACCACTTTATTTACATTTTCTTTTATTACAAAAATATTCTAATTTCCTTTTCTGTTTTGGTCTGAATTCTAATTTCCTGTTTTTTTTTTTAAACAAACTTTATTTATACATCTTTTCTTTTGTTAATATTCATTCAATAGATTTCTTTGACATCAGAGCAATGTTTGCTTTTCAACAGAAACTTGGAGACTGTATAATAAGAGCTAGTATTTTGTACATGATTCTGTCTGTGTATCACACATTTTTTGTATTATCTACTAACTGGTACAACTCTGCACCTATCTGGGAAGCCCAGTCAATTGTCGAACCAAAGAAGAGCTCCCAAAAGCACAGATCCACTGCAAGCACTGATGAAAATATTAGCAATGCCAACGTTTGGTACCGGTTTAGTGGCCAACGCAAAGCCTCTGCCATTCTCCTCAGAATCGGATATGAACTAGTCTCCAAGTCCGTTGGATTTCTGATAGTCCAAGCTGTTACCCATCTTACCTCACAAGGAACAAGATCAAACTCTTCTCTCAGTCGTCTTCCCAGGTCAGGCATGTGGCCTCCGCCATAAAGAATTCCAATTCTCTTGTGCCCTTGCTCCATTGCTCTTCTTAATGCTTCTGTAGCTGCTCGGTTTCTCTCACCAATGATGACAGATTTCTCCTCTATATCTGATGTCGCTTGTGTTAGCCTTCACAACCAAAATTTTTAATGCAATTGTTAATTTCCCACTAGCCTACATATCTTTGCATGCCCTTCAAATAACATAAGGAATAAAACAAGACAGCACTTACTCAGATGTCAATCTCTTAGCGAGGAAAACCTTCATAGCAGCTCCAAAGTCAAGCCGTGAAAGTGCTTCCAATTCTGGATAGTCTGACGTCTGATCTCCAAAGTCAGCACAAAAAGCCCCAATTAGGAAAAGACCCACAAGAGGCATAGGAAAAACCCGTGAAACCCATAGAAGCTTTGACCTCCATGTATCAAGACTTTCAGTTTCCAAAGCTGGCTGTATCATTGCTTTTGTTGATCTAATAGTCATGTCCCTGGCAAATGAGAAGAAGCTTTCTCCTTTCTCCTTCTGCAACAAATATGAAACAGTGCCGATGAAGATTAAATCAGTCATAATGATAGTCTGCATTCTGAAAATATTCAAGTAAAAATGATTCTCGCTATTCCAAACAATACAACGATGAATACAGGCAACAATGCGGAAACCAAAGAATATTACTCAAAAATGACAGAGAACAAGCAACAACCAAAGATAGGTTTGGAAACAAACCTGAAGCAACTGGAAAGTCTCGAAATCGAGATCAGCATGGTACCAATTCTCAGTTTCGTAGTCTAGACAATCTAACTGAAAATCAAGTGTTAGTACTCTTGCCATCTGCCGCTGAATGAACCCGAGAATACTAAAGCCTCTTGAACGAGAACTCTTGAGCCTCTTGGCTGCAATTGGGTTTTTCCTATTTTCCAAGGTCTCTTTACTAGCAACCATCTCATACAAGATAGAATCATATGGTTCAAGCTCCTTTTGAAGAGTTGTGAAGTACCTACAGACCCAAACCCAAACCTTATATGTCATCACACAAGAAACTAATTAAAACCTAACCAAACTCACTAGTAACAAATTACGAGCAATAGAAGAAAGACTCACTCTTTATCTGCAATATGAATCGTTGAGACCAAATCTACCTGTAATATATTAGAGATGATGAAACCGATAAAAATGTCACCTTTCTCGATTTATATGGAAACCCAGAAAGGAACAGAGATGGTGATGTAACCTGAAGAAAAGGGTTGAGAAGAATCCAAGGGAAACGTTTCTTGTAGCTGACGATTGCAGTCTGTAACTCGCTGGTGCCATTTCCGGCGTCGGGACGGCGTTTGAACCTCATGTAATCAGCAATTGAATTGGATTCTAGAAAAAGGGCGGCGTCCGAAGCATCATCAGACGGTAGATTCATTGAGGACGAGACAAAGACATTTGGACAACGGGAATTTGACCGGAACCGGTATTGAGGTATGCGAAGAAGTTTCGAAGATGAGTAAGAAGAAGAAGAAGAAGAAGATCTTTCGGTTGTGGAGCTGTGACCAAACGGAGGAAGGACGGCGAAGGAGCTCACCGCCATGGTTCCTCCCTTGATTTTGTTTTACGGGATATAGTTGAGAAGAAGAAGTAGTAGTGATGATGTGAAGAAGATATTTCGCCATTTTCCAACCAGAAGAAGTTTACACGTTTCTGCTTCGGAAAAAAAAAAAAAAATCGTTTGATTACTTGGTAAACCGAGTCAAAAAAACTTAAAACCAAGAAAAAATTATGATTTAACCAAACCAGTTGTTAACCGAGAGAGGAAACCAGTGGTTCTCTTCCTTTCCCATAAATAGAAATGGAAAACACAAAGTGAAAAAAAAAAAAACAGAAATCTTTTAATTAGCCAGCCATTTGTTTTTCAATGAAGGGGTTATTTATGTGCTTAACGCTAACCATGAGCGATTTGGAGCTGATTTAGTTCAAATTGTTTTTGTTCTCTTTGCATTCTTTTCGAGTCCTGATTGAGTGGTATACGTAGGACGAGTGTTTGCCATTTAATCGAGCTATTGATTGATGCAACAACTAAAAACATTTTTTTAGTCTGCTACTGTATTACTAGTTTTTAGCGACTTGGTAACATCTACTATGCATACACAATTTGTTAGTTTTAATTTCAGTAACTTAGGAAGGCGCAAATATACAATGTTGTGTGCTACTAGCCTACTGCTTTGGAATACTACAACCAATTTAGTTTTAGTTGTCTATTAATTTGGCATATTACGTACAGGACTAATTGCTAAGTTTTAAATAGTGAAATAAGCTTAATAATAATCAGTTGAATTGGTTGCATATATGGTCTCTCTTCTTGGCATTGCATTCCCCTAGCTCTCTCCTTTTCTTTGTCTTTAACCTCTTGTAAATTCATATTCATAACTCACCTGATCTTTTGTTCGTAAGATGGTTAATTCATATGTATCATGTACAGTTTTCTTCTCCTTTGTTATTTTTTTCTGCGTTCATCAAAATTTCAATATATCTTCCCGATTTCGGGTTTAAATATGACAATCTGAAAATACACATTTGTGCTCTTTTCTTAAAATTTTATTTTATTAGATGAGTTATTCGATCATGTTACCAACAAATTTAAAAATAAGATTTTAGGGTATATATATTTTATATTTTATGATAGTAATCTATATTTTAGATATTTATTTAAAATTTAAGATTATAAAAGAGGATATTTGTCCACAATAACAAATTTCTAGATCCTGTGCTAGTGCCCACAACTTTGTGCACACATATATATCTATATTGATACATGCAATGCGTAGGTTGAGTGTGGTCGGGTAAGTCATAAGTGGAACCACTTTAACCACGTAGATGTTGGAGGAAAGTTAGTCACGCTTTCATTAAATAAATAATTTGACATCATTCTAAAGTCAGCTTCCACACAATCCTTATTGGTCTTTTAACCAAGCTGCTTAACAATGCACCATTAGATATCATCAGCAATTATATGTTTTTATACAAATAGTTAAATTGTGGAAGACAACTCGACGGCAAGCTATTCATTAGGCAGGCCACTTTTGAAGACACGAATAAAAGTGGTTGTCCTTTATGGTTCACCTATTACCTCATTTATCTGGACCATTGATTTTGTTTTTCCACCATGCGCCCACCATCGTATGTTATGCAGCTAGTTTTTGCGCATAAGTTTAAAGGGATTATCTTTAGAATACAGGTTCTCTCGCTAGAATATAAGAGAGAAGTTCTCATATTCCTTATAAACTAATGGTGTTTAATGGTGATATTTATAAGAGATTACTTATACCGATTTTGGATATCCGAAAAGTATGTGTTAAGATCAGCTATCTATCAGCCTTCATCATAAACCACATGTATAGAAGATGTAGTGCAAGTGTGCAACTAGCTATCCTATTATATACACACTATCCGAATATATATATGCAGGGCCGGCTCAAATTTTTTTTGGACCTTGTGTCCAATTATTTTTTTTCTAAAAACTTAAGATCTTATTTGTAAAGATTTAAAATTTAAGACCCTTGTTTGCAAAAATATCAAAAATTTAGGACCTTAAGAGCATCCACATTAGTCAACTCTTGATAGATGTCTTTAGTATAAATTAGTGATAATATTAAAGATATCCTCATTTTTTGGTGTTTAAAATGTCTCTAGGAAAACACAAATCTTAAATAAAATACACTGTCCATTTTAATTTTATTTTTTTATTAGTTTTATATTTAAAGACACCCACAAATAAATGGCTAATGTGGATGCTCTAAATCTTCATAAAAACTGACAAAAAAATGTGGACCCGCACTGCCTCTAAGCCGGACCTGTATATATGCATGCATGTGGATTAGATAGATGTGATGAGTTCCTAAATACTTATCCTTCATGAGGTGTGCGTGATGCGTTCCATCACAAATCTATAACAGAATATGGTTAACGAATTTTCGTAACCTAAAAATTTGTGGCGTGTGTTTTGTCTGCCAAGACCCAGACGAAATATTACAAACCCACTAATATCGCTACTCTTCTTTTTTTGTCAATCACTACACTTTAAAGTGGTTAGTGTTGTGATGTTTATCACTAGTTTAGACCATATATTGCATCGTTTCTTTGTTTGTTTTGAATATATAAATGATCGTTTGATCATTCTTCGTGCATATATACCTACAAATTAAGGGCATGTCGTGGGATTTGGCTTCATTTCAAGATCTTCTGATAGCACGCAAATACATGAGGATCTTGTTGATAATATTTGATGATGATGGTGAAGGTATGATGATGATAAGGCACGTTTTTTTTTATTTTTTTTGCAAGTCGACAAAAGAAATATCTTAGTTAGAGGCAAAAGAGAAGTAAGAAAAGGTTATACATATAAAGAGTGGAGTCTCCAACAAAGATATCATTCTCTTTTGAGTGGATTAACTCCACGCTTAATTAAGTGTGCATATCCCATACCACCAGACGTGGGTCCCATTCTAATTCTGCTGTTTCTTCCAATATTTTTGATCTTGTGTCACTAATTGGGACTATTGTTTTGTTAATGGCGATTATATTCCAACTTTTAGTTTCTTTCATCTTTTTGGATTGAAACTTCACAATAACTCTAATCTTTCGTTAATTATAAAACAAATTTCTGTAAACTATAACAAATTTATGTGCTAAATCATGTGTTCATAAGTTTAGATATATTATACCCAATTCTATAGTAATTAGATTGCGGAAATTAGTTTCAATTTTGTCTAACACAATTACATTGATCTTCCGATTCAAAATATATTAATTATCTGAATTATATTTATATATAGGATAAGAGAAATAAAAATTTGTAATGTGAAATATCATAGTCGAGAGGGGAACTGACAAGTGTACATATGAATATAGCTGTGGATTCCACCAAAATTCTGGCAGAGGCATTATCTAAAAATTGATACTGCGCGTGTTGTTTCATGATGTGTTGCAGTGATGTGTATTTCATATTTGCACAATCCTACAGAGTCCACTTGGTACCGTAGCCAAACACAAAGAGAACCTAATCACATTGTTTTAATTTCTTCAAACTGGTTTTTATCTTTTGGATACATAGGTGATTCTTCATTTGTTTTAATAGTTACGGAGCACAATGTCATGCTCCAATGATCATAGTAGATTTGTAATGTAGCGTGTTCAGCATCTTTTAGGGTTTTATTTGCTGTTGCGTTTCTAATTCAGTTCAACTCTAAAATCATGTGGTGATAGAGTCTATGTGAAATGTGGATTTTCGCGGGGTCTGAGTCATCCCGGTTTTATTAATATCAAAGTTATGAACTTATTAGTATGAACAAAAAGATCAAAGTTACCCGAACCCGCTAGATGTACTGGTTCACGACGACATGGAGAGGACTAATCAATGTGTTGAAATAAGGTAAGCGATTCTTGGTTAACAAACAAAACAAGTTACAAGGACTGAGATTTTGGGTGGGCGAAAGCCATAGCTTTTAAAACATGATTGAACTTAAAAGTGGATGTTAGAATTTGAGGGAAAAAAAAGTGATGTCAACTAAGATAGTTGAAAGAATGTCTTAAACTAAAGTAAACCATCTTATTGGACCGGTCCAACCGTGGTCCGGAAGCATCTCCGGTATGACTTACTCTAGAAATCAAAATTGACCCTTCAATTGCTTGTATTTTTCTTGGGTTCACTTTTTAATTTTATTTAAATTACGTACGTTCTATGTCTTCAGAGTTAAAATGTTTAATTATTCTTTGTATATTGTTCGCCGCAAAAGTAAACTATATTACAACGTAACTAAAATTGAAATGAATGAGAAATATATAATTAAAGAGAATAATGAAATACATGAATAGAAGTAATATAAATATCTACTATACAGTATATATCTTATAATTATGATGTCACGATGAGGAAGTCTTGAAAACATGCCCAAGCATCTATGGTCTAGTGGCAGAAGAAGCTTTGGGAAAGGGTGAAACTCCCAAACCTGAGTTCGATTCTCCCTGGAAACAAAAACACATTTGTTTGGGAAGTCTGTCAGTTGGGCCTTGGCCCAATTGGTTTACCTGGTAGCCAGAAATGCAGGCGGCCTGACTACCCCTGGCACTTAGTCGGAAGGCATTCCAAACTCGGGATAGGTAGAGTGGTAGCCCGTAAGGGCCTAACCGTTAACACGGTGGACCAGTCCACTAAGTAGCACCTTTGTGCGTTCCTACCGGGGCCGACCGGATAGCCGATAGGGTTTATCAAAAAAAAAAAAAAAAAAAGTCTTGAAAACATTAAAATGCCAAAACATAAGCATGCGACCGAAATGTGGCAGAAAATTTAAGAGTTTTATTTGTCGCAATCATTACTCATGCTAACATTTTTCATTTTCCCCCTCATTTGTGGATAACGCACGATATTACATTCTACACACCAACAAGATTCTATAAAAACGCAAAGGTTGTCTCCATAGAATATCGTCCCATCACCAAACATTAGATCTCCTCTTTCTCTCTATCTATCTCACTCACACTCCTTCTCTCTCTCTTTCTCTCTCAGAACTTGGATATGGGTGAAGCCGTAGAGATCATGTTCGGAAATGGATTCCCAGAGATTCACAAAGACACATCACCCATTCAAACCCTCCACTCCAACCAGCAGGACTGCCATTGGTATGAAGAAACCATCGATGATGATCTCAAGTGGTCTTTTGCCCTCAACAGGTTTTCATCTATCTCAACTTTGCTTTCATTATATATGTATATATGATTTTGCCTGTTTTTTATGGTTTATTTACTTTATTTTGTCTCGACAGTGTTCTCCATCAAGGAACTAGTGAGTACCAAGATATTGCTCTGTTGGACACCAAACGTTTTGGAAAGGTACATTTTGTCAAATATTCTTATGAAACAATATTTTTACTTAAAAGTTCATGTTTATTTTGTATAGTTTTGATTAATTACAAATTTCTTAGAGTAGTGATATTATAAGGTGGAGACTAATTAGTATGAAGTACTTAAAAACAGGTGCTTGTGATTGATGGGAAAATGCAAAGTGCAGAGAGAGATGAGTTTATCTACCATGAATGTTTGATCCACCCGGCCCTCCTTTTCCATCCCAAGTATATATGCACTTTATTTTACTTTACTTACAAATTAATTTCTTGTATTCAATCAAGTGCTTTATATTTGAATAATGCACCTAACATAGTCTACAAAATTTCTACTTATGTTTAAAAAGTTATATCACTTGTTTATTGTTATTAGACATGAACATTTTATATAAACATAGTTTCGAATTGTTATTTACTCAACCATTGCTCATTGAGTAGCCCCAAGACGGTGTTTATAATGGGAGGAGGTGAAGGCTCTGCTGCTAGAGAAATATTAAAACACACGACGATCGAGAAAGTTGTCATGTGTGATATTGATCAGGTTAACCTCAAGTCTCCAATTGTATTAACAAAAAATATACGTTCATGCATGATCTTAACAAATTAATAAATGTTTTTTTTTCTTTCTTTCTAGGAAGTTGTTGACTTTTGCAGAAGATTTCTGACCGTTAACAGCGATGCTTTCTGTAACAAAAAGCTTGAACTTGTGATCAAAGATGCAAAGTAAGGAACCTAAAACATAACAAAAACAACAAAAGTAAGTTTTCAATGACGTCTAAATCTCTAATTAAAAATATAATTTGAATGTGAAAAAGGGCTGAATTGGAGAAAAGAGAAGAGAAGTTTGATATCATAGTAGGAGATTTAGCCGATCCAGTGGAAGGTGGACCTTGTTATCAGCTCTACACGAAATCCTTCTACCAAAACATCCTCAAACCCAAGCTTAACCCCAATGGCATTTTTGTGACCCAGGTCTTAAATCTTTTTAATATTTTTTTGATAAATATTTACTAATTTGGGAAAAAGATAATAAAACACTTTATTTTTGTATAAATAATAATAGGCTGGACCAGCAGGAATATTCACTCATAAGGAAGTCTTCACATCAATCTACAACACCATGAAGCAAGTGTTCAAGTGTAAGCAAATTACGCCTCTTTTGTGTGTTTCTTGTAGAGAAATTATTGGATCCATTTTTTGATGATTGAAGTAAAAACAGACGTAAAGGCTTACACAGCACATGTGCCATCATTTGCGGACACATGGGGATGGGTGATGGCATCGGACCACGAGTTTGATGTTGAAGTTGATGAAATGGATCGAAGAATCGAAGAGAGAGTTAAAGGAGAATTGATGTATTTAAACGCTCCTTCTTTCGTCTCTGCTGCTACTCTCAACAAAACCATCTCTCTCGCGTAATTTCCATTTCTCACTCTTTTTTTTTTCTTAACACAATGAATAATTAATCGATTTATTTACAAAATGGATACTAAATATTGGACAGACTGGAGAAGGAGACTGAAGTTTATAGTGAAGAGAACGCGAGATTCATTCATGGTCATGGTGTGGCGTACCGGCATATTTAAAAGAAGAACCGGTTCAATTTCAGATTCATACCAAACCCATGTCATAAAAACATAAAAGCCGGTTTCTTTTCTCCGCATATAACCGGGGCGTTGTCTTGATGATTACTTTGGTTCGGTTTTCTTTTCTACATTGCTTGGGTTTTCGTTTTCTTGTTCTTATCTTCCCTCAAGTTATTCCGGTTTAGTTTGGTTAACAAAACTATATCTTCCCTCAAGTAATTTCGGTTTAGTTTGGTTGACAAAACTATACTGCTTACTAATTAAGAAAAAGACCAATCGTCATCGTCAGTTTCTTCTTCAATCAGTAATTTCTCCACACCAAATCTAATTTACACCAATTATGGTCTAAAACTGGTTAAAACTATTTGGTATTATATCGATAACTAAAAATCTGGCATTAGAATTTGAATGATTCGGTTCAAGAAGAAAGGATAGAGAAAAGAATTTCCGGAAAAGTAAACCGAAGCAAATCAAGTTCAACTAAACCGAAAGCAAATCAAGTTCAATTAAACCGAAGCAAATGAAGTACTTAATGAAAAAAGAAGAAGGAAAGGATCATTTGTCATTTGTGAGTCTTGTGTTCAGTGAGATGAACATCTTGAGGAAGGAGGCTGTAATCGATCTCAAGCTCCTCGAGAATCCGCTTGATTGCGATGATCAGTGCGGTTCTTCTTCTACTCTTCTCTATGTATACTTGGAAGTTTATGGTGTGCTGGACCAGTATATTCAATACCAGCTTGTTCATATTCTCAATCGCCCTCACCATCACCTGGGCTTCTGGATACCAATGTTGTGAGTTTGCCACCAAGTATCTGACCAAATTTAGAATCAATACAAAGTGAGTGATTTAATGTGGACAAGGTCTGTTGTATGGTAGTTAGGGGACTTAAATAACATGTGAAGAACTACTTATAGAAAAAATAAACTGCATTCATATTGATTACTAATATGCCTAATACTTACTCTCCGATTTTTCCCTTGAGACTGCCGATTTTCTCGGCCGGTGTTGAGAATGCAATGGCGAAGTCGACATAATCTCCCATATCTGGACTTCTGTAGAAGTTGCTTATCGGTTTTGATATTAAAACCGAGTTTGGATAGAACACTTTCTCGTTGTCAATCTTGAGGAACACGGTCGTTAGAAGATCTATTTCTTCAACCAACAACTTCAAAGCAAAAGAAACAATATTAACTCAATGGTTTAGATGTTTTAACTGAGTAGTAATAGTGAGCAAACAAACTTGCAAAGTTAGTTACCATAACACCGTCGACAACGCAACGGTCTCCGACGTCATAAGGATGCATTACGAAGACGAACATAAAGGATTCAAAGATATTCTTACAAGTGCTTCCGATCATGAAAGCAAGACCCACAAATTGTGATGAGAAGACCAACAAAAGCTTGGTCGATGCTATATCCAGAAGCACCAACCAAACAATGAATGTGATAACGGTCAAGATTCCAGTTACAAGTTTGTCCAGCTGCTTAACCGCTGTTTTTGTGTCGTTCAATGAATGCCCTATAGTTTTCCGACTTGTGTAAACATTAACCTATAAAAAAATGGCACAACAGACCTAGTTTAAACTTTTAACAACTTCTCTAAATAGGCATGTGTTATGTTTTTGCCTAGGGTTTCCTTTATTGGTACCATTGATTAGTCATCTAGAACAACTTTGGACAAAAAAATTAAGGGTGTTTGAAGAATGTTACCACCCATTCTGTAAAAGTCTTGCGTGTGATTTTTCCGGTGTCGGCATCTTCTATTAATGGGAGTACTAGGTCTACCTCTTCCCTAATCATGAACCTCAATAGGTCATCTTCTTCTATGTAACTGAAAATCAAAAAGCAATTGAAGTTTGTAATGATTCATATGAAAAGTGAAAACAAAGTAGAAGAAAACAGAGTATTTGTGTGATGACTCACTTATGGTTCGGCTTAGCAACATTGTTAAAGACTTCATAAGCAGCAGCCACAGCCTCCATCTCATTTGTTATCTCTTTATCTTTTTGCTCTTTCTTATTGTTGACCTCATCTAAAGTGCTGGATATGGTAGATATACCTGAAGTTCCCACCGCTTCGATCAAAACACGCATTGTCCCAGCAGAGACCTTCTCTTGTTTCATCCTGTGAACCTTACCCATATCGATCACTTTCTTGTCTTTCACTTTTCCATCCTTGGTGCTTGTGAAACTTAGGTGGCCTGTGCTTGGCACACGCCCAACGTTCTCTGCCTCTTCTATAAGCGGAGGTCCCGAGAGAGTTTGGAGAACGTATTGGTTGAAAATAGACTCTTGAATTCTCTCAAAGAAGTTTCTGACGTTGAACTTTGATGCAAGAACTTTCAAGGCAAACGTCTTTACCAAGAAAAGGATTGACCCTACGAGAAGGGAGACAATAGTCCAAGTAATGAAGTCGAGAAATTTCTTGGTCTTACGAGAGTGTTTAACGTTATCATCGAACAGACATATCCAAGCAATCAGAACCAGAGTAAACCAAATGAAGACTTGAACATTCTTCTTCAAACCATGCACAAAGTACAGAACTTTTTTCCGAAGAAGATAGTTCTTTTCTATGAGGAACACTGCAAAATGCATGAACCAATTTGTCACCAACATGCCGCTGAGTGTAACCATCACAAGCACCGACCATTTCCAAACTTCCAAACCCCAAATGGTATGCTTGTTCACCTTATCAATGGTTAAACTCACAACCAAAGTGGCCAAAATGGCCATAAACACTACCAACTCAATCAGAGCCAGAGGTTTCATTCCGCTACGCTTCACTCGGTGTAGCTTAACCTTTTTGTAGATTTCCTCATTTTCATCCCTTTCCTCCTCAGCAACTTTACTCAGTGCTGCTGACGCAACGCTTCTATTCGATTTGTTATTAGGAGAAGCCCTGTCAAAAGAACCCCTTGCAAATGAAGGAGCACCAAACTGTTCCCTAAGGGACCTTCCACCATTTTCCTCTATAATATTATCGTATCGAAAAGACCGTTGTTCCCCAAACCTTGACTTGGACTTGGAGTAAACTGACCTCGAAAGAGATTTCCTCCGAACTAGACCTTCATTGCTAGGACTTGGGATCTTAGGTGGCTTATGAACGCTACCAGAGAACTTATAGATTTCAGGAGGAGGAATGCTTAACGGCGGCACTGGTTTTGATTTCTCAGCCCCTGCATCTGACCCTGGTGAAGCCAATGGATTGAAAGAAGGAGATGATGCTGTTGGATCTTCTTTATCTGAAACATTAATAACAACTTCTTCTCCGTTACTGACTCTCCTCTCTGCCATCCTGAAGTCACCTCCAACCAATAAGTTGCGATGCAGTTTGACTCCAATGGCTCCCAAAAGAGCCTAGAAGTTGGACCAAATCATAAGAACACGAAGAGTAGAAATGTTTCAGTGATTAGATTAATCACAAACTCTTTACACAATTAGATTACAATGAGATTTGATTTAACATATGCTTGACACCGACTATGGACAAAGTTTACGTTTACACTTTTTAAAGTTGACCAAACCAAAGTTAGGAGCGCCTCTAAGCTATCTAAAAGCTAACCTTAAAACCTAAAGCAAATCCTACAAGGCTAGAAAAGAGATCTGCAAGAATGACCAGTTGTTCTAAGTAAATGAGTACTCTTTGGAAAACCCACGAATTATCCGAAGATAGTAAGAAAGATCAACACTTTCCCAAAATAAATATATACTTTCAAAGAAAAAGTAAACCAACAGTGCCTCAGTAGAAAATTATTCAAACGTATAGTTAGATATAAGCTTACTAAAAAATTTAAAAGTGACAAAACAGAGCAGGTTTTGAACTCGGTATCTTTGGGTGGACTAAAGAAGAACAAATTAACTTTTAGAAACTTAAAAGGAACAAACAAAGAAAACAGAGAAAGGGGAAAGAGAGAGAGAGAGTCGTACAGGACACTGAAAGCAAGCCCAAGTAAGGATTGATCTTTGATTCAAACTTTAGTTCTGCTTTGCAAAGAGCGAAAACTCCAGAATAATACGGACAAGAAACAAATAGGCATCAATTAAATAAATAAAAAACAATCACGTGGATCTCAGAGGGGATTCCCAATTTTTATGTTTTCAATGTCAAGTGATAACGTTATAGATTTATACTAATACAGTCTTATTAAATTTTATTTTTTTGTCAATAGTCCTATTTTAATCTATTGACACATCTTTTCCTTATGTCACACAAGTCGGTTTATATTTTAGTTTAGTTTAAATCAATGATTTTTCTAAAGAATACTGAAAATTTAACGTCATTTAGTTAAAATGATGTGATGCATCATTGCATGTGACCTGATCTACTACGTGAAAAAGAATATGAAATGAGAAGTCGCATAGCTTGGTCAAGAATAAAATGAGAAGGTTTATAATGCAAAATCATATACTAGTAAAATAATGTAATATAATACCACTTAGGAGTTGAAAAGAAAAGACAAAGGTGACAGCAAGAATATATTCAGTCCTTGGTTTTACCGTTATTTTCACAACTGGGATATATTAAAAGAGAAATCGATAGCGACGAATTTCGTATTTCGATGAAAAATCAACATTTTATATTGTTTCGAGTATAAACTATCTTCGTACCATGATTTTAATGTGCACGGTAGGATATTTAAAATAACTTGTATCGAACCAATCCAAATTCAATTATTCAAAATTGAACCTACTCTTTTAACGAGTGAGTTACTACTAGAGGACGACACAAATAAATTAGTACTCCCTCCGTATTTTAATAAGTGTCGTTTTAGGATTTTTTTTTTTTTAAAATTAGATGTCGTTTTCAAATTTCTATGCAAAATTTATTACTTTTTAATGTTTTATGACGTCATAAAACATTAAAAAGTAATAAATTTTGCATAGAAATTTGAAAACGATATCCAATTCAAAAAAATAAAAATTCTAAAACGACACTTATTAAAATACGGAGGGAGTACTAGCTAATGTCAAAGCGTGGATTTTTGAATTTACTTTAATGTTATCTTGTACAGTTGTACTACAACATTTTATGCATTTATTTTTAGTCGTTAAGCTTAGCAAATAGAAATGTAAATTTATAATGAATAGATTTTTCTTATAAAGATGTCAAATGTTGAATACATCTTTTCCGAAAATGTTCTTTATAATGGGTATAGTAAGTATGATTATATCATCCTGCTGAAGCTACACAAGTATATAAATTTGTCCATTAAATGTTTCGGATTTTTTATCTCTGAGCTCCAAATTGGATCCATTCTAAGGCCCATAAATAAGCCCAAATATAAAAGTCAGCTTAGCCCGTAAACAATTTATTTCTTAATCGGGTTTAGGGTTTCTCAGAGATACTCTTTCTAGGTTTTTAAAGCAGCTTCTTCTCTCTCTGATCTCTCTCCCTCCCTCACACCCTAGACAGCAGCAACAATGGCCGTTACCTTTTCAGATCTACACACAGAGGAGGGTGTCAAATCCGTGGAGGAGCACCTCGCCGGAAAAACCTACATCTCCGGGTAAAGTTTGTCTCTTTTCCTTTTTTTTTCTGCTAAACGATTCGTAACCTTAGATTGTTTCTATTCCCGTTATGATGTATGAGAGATTTTGATTTTGCAGAGATCAATTGTCTGTGGATGATGTTAAGGTTTACGCTGCTGTTCCAGAGAAACCCAGTGATGCTTTCCCTAATGCTAGCAAGTGGTACGAGTGTGTGGCTTCCCATCTTGCTAAAAGGTTCGTCCTTTTTGGAATTTGGTAATAATCGATTCAGATTTGGTATATGTATCAATCTTTCAACAATTGATAAGTTTTGATTTGTTGCAGTTTCCCTGGAAAGGCCGTTGGAGTGCAAATCGGTGGCTCTGCTACTGCCCCTCCAGCTGTAGAGGCTGAGGTACCTTTACTTGAATGCTTTATTCTTGACTGTCATAATCGTAGACCTTAGAACAATGATTTTATAGGTGATAGTTGTAATTATAAATTATAATACTTCGATTTGGAATGTTGTTTGTGTGTGTGTTTTAAGCTATTTTGCATAAATTGTCATCAACAGGCAGCTGCAGCTGGTGATGATGATGATGATGATGATGACATCGATCTGTTTGGTGATGAGACCGAGGAGGAAAAGAAAGCTGCTGAGGAGAGGGAGGCTGCTAAGAAGGACACCAAGAAGCCTAAAGAGAGTAAGTCTCTAGAGCATGCTCTTGGTTTATAGGGAAAACTTGTGAATGAGCAACTGCATCTTGAATTTTGATATGGGTTTTTAACTCTCTTTTGTATTTCAAACTCTTTGTTAGGTGGAAAGTCCTCTGTACTTATGGATGTTAAGCCATGGGATGATGAGACCGACATGAAGAAACTGGAAGAGGCTGTTCGTGCTGTTGAATTACCCGGTCTTTTATGGGGAGCTTGTACGTGTTTGACTTTCAATCTTAATGAGAGTAAGCTTTAGACTTTTGTCTGGGACTGTTTTCTAATTGAAACTTTTTTTTTTTCTGGTAATTTCTTGCAGCAAAACTTGTACCAGTTGGTTACGGGATCAAGAAACTCACGATTATGCTCACCATTGTTGATGACCTTGTGTCCCCGGACAACCTCATTGAAGACTTTCTCACCTCAGAGCCTAACAACGAGTACATCCAGAGTTGTGACATTGTCGCATTCAACAAGATTTAGAGACTTCAATCCTCTCCTTACAAAAACATATTTGATTTTCAAGTTTTGTTTTCGTTTGTGTTGTTTACCGAGATGTTTCTTTTCTAGTTGCAAGACCTCTTTCATGTTACAATAACACTAAATTATCAATGCTTACTATTCCGTTGAATTATTGTTAAGAACTACTTAGGTACTTTGAAAAATTTTCTACTACTTCAGAAAGAATCACGTATCCAGCAGCTCCCATCACAAGAGAAAGGGTGAGTTTTCCTCCTGGAACAATTTGCGGCAATCTTGTCACTCTTGACGTTGAGACTATGTACCTATCTGACCAAGACATTGCTGCTGGGAGGATTCCGAACAATACCAGAACTACAAAAGAGAATATAGTTAGGTTTCATGTTTGTTTAGATTTGACAACTTTTTGATTCAGGTTGCTCAAGAAGAGACTTGTACCTCCATATGTCCCGGCAAAATCTAAGGCTTTGAAGAAAATCTCTGGGTCCAGTAGGGACAGGACAAGCGGTGGAACCAGAGTAAGCAAGTAGAGAAGAGGCTTGTTCTGCCCACTCGGAAGCTTCAATACTAGAAAGTTTCCATGAAAGCAAAGATTATATAGTGTCTCCATGGCAGTAGATTTAAAAGAAAAGTTTGGTTGTTTGATGATACTTACAGTCAGAGAAGAAATCAGAGAGGCCTAAGACAAACCCTATATAAGATGTTGCGATTGCAAAAAGAGAGAATGCTTCCACAAAAGGCTGTATTATCAAAAGAAGACTGATCAGCGGTGATTGGTGAAGAGTTTATCAAATAAGCAAGAACAACTACACTTACACCGACAGTGACACTGCTTGATCTCAATTGTTGCAGAGGATCGACCATCTTCTCAGCAGCCACCCCAGTATCTGCTGGAAACGACCCAAGAATTACACCGTTCCACACAAGAAACAAGCTGAGTGGTATGGCTGTGCCAAGAACAATCGCGGTTCTGAAGATAAAGATATTTAGAAGGTTGAGTTAGTCCATAGACACTCAGTGAGTTTCACCATTACCATTGCAGGGTATGATGTCACCTTACTTTCGGCAAGTCTCCTTCAAGATCTGTGCAGAGAACCGGCACCACATTCTGTAAGAAGAGCAACCAATTGAGAAAGTTTCTTCATCTCACAGTCAAGAATCCAAGGTTGAAAGAATGAGATTGACTGTGACTACCTGATAAACAAATGACAGAGCAATGATGGGTATACTCATGGGAACGGCCTCAAAGTTAGCCTTGAGAAGAGCTTCCCAGTGCAAGTCTCCACTTGCAACTGCCTAACAAAATGGTCATCTATGTTTTGGTTTTCTCTTTCATGAATTCATAGGAAAGTCTCTAAGGAAAAAATGTTACCACGAGTGCTGCAAACGATGCTATTACTCCAAACACCAGAACTCCATTGGCTACACCGATGAATCGCTGGCTGCAACGACATGGAGGATGCTATGAGTAACTTTGAGTCGAGCACTATTCCACTCTGGTTCTCTTTGGGTTTATACAGTTTCTTCTTTAAATTGTGGCATCACTGATTAGCTTAAAATGGATAGCTAACCTCCCAAAGAAGCAAAGACCTCCGAAGATTAGTGAGAACAGAGTTGCACTCTCCCATCTACAAGACATTCTGGGGAATAAGTACAGAAGCATAATACTCAACAAAAGGATCAATTGGGGTTTCGTACATTGGAATGCCGAGGA